GGTTGAGCCAAGGTGTGAAATCGCCTGAGCCAAGGTGTGAAACTGGGTGTGGGTCCCAATCAGCCAGAGTTTTGGGTGAGCTCATTGTGAAACCTGGCCCCACCCTATCATGTGATTTCCTGAGGTCAGATGGCCCAGGATGTGAGTGGGCGTTAAGGCGTCTGGGGAGGATCTCAAAGCTGGATTATAGATATAATCGAGTTATATAGTTTTTAAAGAGAAAGATTTGGTCACAAATCGGGAAACAGTTGTAGCTTAAAGCTAAAATTACGGACATTTAAAGTCAAATTTTGGAAGTTGCATAACATAAAGAGGAGGAGTTGGTGATAATACAACGGAGTCCCAGCAGAGCCCTGGAGCCAGGCCCGGGAAGGGTGCCCGAGGACGAGCCTCTGGTGGCTGGGCCTTAGTCCATGGGGCCCAGCCGGGCACAGCCCTAAGAGGAGACATGGGCCCATCCTCCCGAAGGCCCACCACCTGCAGGAGGCGCCATAGGGGTCGGGTGAATTGTGTGCTGGGTGGCGGCCAGGAGCGGAGGCCCTGGCGGACTGACCCCCGGCTGCCAAGACTGGCAATAGGGACATGGAATGTCACCTCTCTGGTGGGGAAGGAGCCTGAGTTAGTGCGCGAGGTTGAGAGGTACCGGCTAGATATAGTTGGGCTCACCTCTATGCATGGCTTGGGCTCTGGAACCATTCTCCTGGAGAGGGGCTGGACTCTGTCTCAGTCTGGAGTTGCCCCTGGTGAGAGGCGGCGAGCTGGGGTGGGTATTCTAATATCCCCTCGGCTTGCTGCCGATACGTTGGGGTTTTTTCCGGTGGATGAGAGGGTTTGTTCCCTGCGCCTTAGGGTCGGGGAACGGGTCCTGACTGTCATCTGTGCTTATGCACCAAGTGGCAGTTCGGAGTACCCAGCCTTCTTAGAGGCTAGGGCAGTGGCTGAAGCAAAAACTCGGGTGTGGGAGGAGTTCGGAGAGGCCATGGAAAAAGACTTTGGGACTGCCTCGAAGAGATTCTGGCAAACCGTCAGGCGTCTCAGGAGGGGAAAGCGGTGCTCTACCTGCACTGTGTATAGTGCTGGCGGAGCGCTGCTGACGTCGACTGAGAAAATTGTCAGGCGGTAGAAGGAATACTTCGAGGACCTCCTTAATCCCACTGACACGTCTTCCGAGGAGGAAGCAGAGTCTGGGGATGAGGGGAATGACCCGCCAATTTCCGGGGGCGAGGTCACTGAGGCAGTTAAACAACTCCTTGGTGGCAGAGCCCCTGGTGTTGATGAAGTCCGCCCCGAGTTCCTGAAGGCTCTGGACGTTGTAGGGCTGTCCTGGTTGACATGCCTCTGCAATGTTGCGTGGAGATCAGGGGCAGTACCTGTGGACTGGCAGACCAGGGTGGTGGTCCCCATCTTTAAGAAAGGGGACCGGAGGGTGTGTTCCAATTACAGGGGGATCACACTCCTCAGCCTCCCTGGGAAAGTCTATGCCAGGGTGCTGGAAAGGAGAGTTTGTCCGCTAGTCGAACCTCGGATACAGGAGGAGCAATGCAGTTTTCGTCCTGGTCGCGGAACACTGGACCAGCTCTTTATCCTCTCCAGGATACTTGAGGGTGCATGGGAGTTTGCCCAACCAGTCTACATGTGTTTTGTGGACTTGGAGAAGGCATTCGACCGTGTCCCTCGGGGTGTCCTGTGGGAGGTGTTGCGGGAGTATGGGGTGTCTGGCCCATTGCTACGGGCCATTCGATCCCTATACAACCGTTGCAAGAGCTTGGTTCGCATTGCCGGCAATAAGTCGGACTCGTTCCCGGTGGGTGATGGGCTCCGCCAGGGCTGCCCTTTGTCTCCGGTTCTGTTCATAATTTTTATGGACAGGATTTGTAGGCGCAGCCAAGTGGCGGAGGGCTTTCGCTTTGGTGGCCTCAGAATCTCATCTCTGATTTTTGTGGATGATGTGGTTCTGTTGGCTTCATCGGGTGGGGGCCTCCAGCTCGCACTGGAACGGTTCGCAGCCGAGTGTGAAGCAGCGGGAATGAGGATCAGCACCTCCAAATCTGAGGCCATGATGGTTCTCAGCTGGAAAAGGGTGGAGTGCCCACTCTGGGTCGGGGATGAGTTCCTGCCCCAAGTGGAGGAGTTCAAGTATCTCGGGGTCTTGTTCGCGAGTGATGGGAGAAGGGAGCCGGAGATCGACAGATGGATTGGGGCTGCAGCTGCGGTAATGCAGACGCTGCACCGGTCCGTCGTGGTGAAGAGGGAGCTGAGTGTAAAAGCGAAGCTCTCAATTTACCGGTCGATCTACGTCCCTACCCTCACCTATGGCCACGAGCTGTGGGTAGTGACCGAAAGAACGAGATCGCGGATACAAGCGGCAGAAATGAGCTTCCTCCGAAGGGTGGCTGGCCTCTCCCTTAGAGATAGGGTGAGAAGTTCGGCCATCCGGGAGGGGCTCAGAGTAGAGCCGCTGCTGCTCCACATCGAAAGGAGCCAGCTGAGGTGGTTCGGGCATCTGACAAGGATGCCTCCTGGGCGCCTCCTGGGTGAGGTGTTCTGGGCATGTCCCACCGGGACGAGGACCCGAGGCAGACCCAGGAACAGCTGGAGAGATTATATCTCTCGGGTGGCCTGGGAGTGCCTTGGTGTCTCCCCGGATAAGCTGGAGGAGGTGGCTGGGGAGAGGGAGGTCTGGGCCTCTTTGCTTAGGCTGCTGCCCCCACGACCCGGCCCCGGATAAAGCGGATGAAGATGGATGGATGGATGGATGGATGGATGGATGGATGGATGGATGGATGGATGGATGGATGGATAAATTGACTAATTAAATAATATTTTTTTATTTTGTCATCACCTACAGACCCAGATTCAGTAACATGAAGTCAGATGCCTTATGCCAGCAATTCTCTCCCTCCAAACCCGCAGAAGGACCACAATTTTGCCACCTCCATGCTGCATGAGCTCTTGAATCCCTGCTCCACACTCAGCGCGATGAGCCTGACCCTGATAACAGACTTCATAACCATCTGTAGGTTTGATCTGCAGTCCAGTTTAGGTCATGCACTGCCAAATTCACCTGTCACTCAGATCAAAGTTGCTCCATGTCTTTTCTTCTGTCCTGTCAGCCCACACTAATAAGAGATGTCAAAGAATTTGTGTCTGCCTGTCAGTCTGTGCTCAGAATAAGATCACTAGCTCTCCTCTATCTGGGCTCCTCCCCCCCTTTCCCCATCACTTTGGATTTCATCACTGGACTACCACTGTCACCAGGAAACACAGTCACTCTCCTGTAACTGTTGTGTCCTGCCTAGCAAGAGCAGCAAGAGTACTGACAGAGACTCGGAAGAGAAAGGATATGTCATGGTCCCCGTACCCGCCGGCTGACCCTGTGTTAGGCAAAATGTTTTGTTTTGTTTTTTGCTCTCTCTCTCTCCTCTGCCGGGGCGGAGCTGATTACAGGCTCCCGCCCCTAGCCCACGCACCTGCGTCCAATCTCCACACCTGCTGCTGAGCTCCAGTAATCCTGAGCCTACTTAAGACAGAGGCACTTTGCTACTCATCGCTGGATCATTTAGCAATCTGCATCAGTCAACCTGTAGCTTAAAAACTAGAATCCGCGAGTTGTCGTTCTGAGTGTGTTACTAACTGAAGCTTCTGTGCGTAGATCTTTCCTGGACCTGTCCCTGCCCACCTCAGAATCCTGCGAGCGAGTGTGTGGAAGCGTGAGAGCCTGTTTGAGCCCCTCCTCTTCCCCCACGGACCCTGGAGCCCTGGACCCCCCTCGAGCACACTGTACATATATAATCTCTGTTTAACCCAGAATTGAAATTAAAAGTTTTCTGCTCACACAGAAGGTCTTGGACACACCTTGTTCCTTTCCTCTTCCTTTGTCATTGGCCATCAGTAGCACAGTTTCCACCAGCACCCAGTTGGCCAACAGGCATTTTTATGCCTGAAGCAACCCTTTACTTTGTGCTGGGACCAGTACCATGATCCCAGCACAAAGGGCCATAAGCCAGCTAGTAATTATATTACAGTAACTGTTATACTACTGTAGTTGAATTACAAAGGTTATTCATTTATCTGCATGCTAGACAGAGAGAAAAGGAAAAAATCAAAGGACAGGCATTGTTTTCCTTCTTGCACGCACCGCTGATTGAGGAGGAATATGGTGGCACAGTACGATTCAGCCTTTCAGGACTGAACTTCAACAGGCTGACGAGCAGCCAGGCTGCAGCCTCCATTTCTACATGCTCATTATTTTACACCAGAATCACCGTGGCGACCACTTTAAAGTCTGTTTGGATTGGTGTTTATCTTTGCTTTGGGTTGATATGTAAAAGTTAAAAGTAACAATGTATGTGTGTCCTCATTAGGGTAGGGATTTGTGTTGGAGTGTGGCACTGGAGCCAGAGATGAGGCAAGTAACATACGGCAGTATTTTTAGGAAAAGTAGCAGCTAATGCATGTTACTTTACTTTTCTTTGTGTAACAATCTGAATACTGAACATCACTGATGAGGACCCAAGAAGATTTAAAAAATTAGAATATGGACTTAGAGGACTGATGATGCGTTTTTGAATGTTTTTGTCAAGTTAGCAAGAGCAAATAATTTGATCCAATTAGGAAGTGACCACAACTAAGAAGTACATTAGGCAGTTTGCAGCAAGACTACTGCATCCAATGTTTTGGTCTACGCTTGGTGTTTGGATGTAGTGCTCTGGTCACCATGGAAACTCATTCCATGAAGCTAATCTGAAGTTTGGAGGTCCGTCGTGATTGGCTCTGCAGAAAGCTGGTGACCTACGTTCACTCTGCGCCTCACCTGCCCCCGCTCGCTGATTTACGTGGCCAACCACTTCATGGCTGAGTTGCTGTCAGTCCCAATCACTTCCTCTTTGTTGTGATGACTTCAACAGGTGACTGTGAAATATTTATTTGTGAGGAAATTTCACAACTGGGCTTGTTGCACAGCTGACATCCTGCCACAGATCCACTCTGGATTTCACGGAGCTTTTTATTTACAAAGAAACATTTTATTTTTATTACACAGGAACAAAAATGTGTTGGATACTGATTCAGGGAGTCAGGTGCAGTTTGACAGCTGTCAAATTATCCATAAAATAATTTTAATCCATAATATGACCGACTGATGGTTGTGAATGAAAATAACTTCTTACAGGGCAGATGATCAGTAACTAATGATGATGATAACATTAAAATTGCTTTTCATATCACAGTATGACACATTGTTTCTCTTTCGCTGCTGCAACAGCAGCTCCCACTGCCGCTCCCAGTGCTGCTCCCACTGGACCCAGCACACTTCCAGCACCCGCTCCGATACCCACACTCTTCAGGAACTTCTTCTTTTTCTCTTCCTGTCCTCCTGCACCTCCTGCTTCTTCTTCTTCCACCATCTCTGTATCTTCTCTCTGAATACGTTCAGTCTCTTCTCTGACGGCTCTCTCAGCCTCCTGCAGCATCTCATTGGTGTAACATTTTCCTCCGTTGCTCTGAACCATGGTGTTGATCTTCTCCAGCAGCTCCCTGACCTGAGAGACATCCTCACTTCTGTTCTTAAAAACATGATATCCTCCACCACACTGACTGATGAAGCCGTGCAGACGCTGATTTCCATTTATTAATGTGTCTATGTTAGCTTCATTGTCCACATCATCTCCATGTGTGAACAGCACCATAGTATAATCTGCTGCTTCTTTTCCAAATATCTCCTGAAGGATTTTCACTGTTTCTTGTTCTTCTTTGGTGAATCTGCCAATCTGGATGACGATCAGGAACACATGAGGACCAGGCGCAACAAAGGAGATGCATCTAACAAACTGTTCCTTCACCTCCAACTCAGACACGGTGATGTCAAACAGGCCCGGAGTATCGACGACAGCCAGCGTCTGTCCTTCCACCTCTCCTGTTTCCTTCTGACACTCTGACGTCACTGAAGCAAAAGAGGATGTAGATTTAAAGGCTTTTCTTCCCAAGATGGTGTTTCCTGATGCACTCTTCCCAACTCCCGTTCTCCCAACAAGCACCATCCTGAGGTGAAGGTCCTCTGCATGTGCTGTGGAAGTTAAAGAGATGGCTGTCATTATTAGTGGGAGTCTCTCAGTCATCATGTGGAACAGTAAAATATAAACATGAGACTGACCTTCTGCTTCCTCCTGTACATGGATGACATCACGCTGTGTGTCAGAAGTGAGCGAGGCATCAACGTGTTGATCAGCAGGATCTACAGCGAGGACATCAGCATGTCATTCAGAGTGGATAAGGCTGCGTCCACGCGTACACGGGTATTTTTGAAAACTGAGATTTTCCGTTTTCGTTTTAAAAAATAATCCCGTCCACACATAAAGGCAGAAATGGAGGAAAACGCTGCTATGAACATGCCAAAGCAGCAGGTGGCGCTATATTCCTAACCGTGTAGAAATGTTGGCCAATCAGAAGTCTAGAAGCCTCGGTGGGAAAAAGTAAACAAAGCTGGGGCATAGAAGCAGAACAGAGTCGTATGCGTGGAGGGACAGTAACTGTGTGTATATGTAAGCATTTAAACACTGCAGAGAGTAGAATTAATAGTAATAGTATTGTAGAAATTCATTTCACCGAAACAATAACGTCAAAAAAGGCGCACACCTTTGACGCTGCGTTTTCTCCGTTTTTCTCGTCCACACGTAAATGCAAAAACTGAGTTTTCAAAAATATCCACCCTGGCCGGCGTTTTTAAAAATCTCCGTTTTCAGTGACTAAAAACGCCGTTTACGTGTGGACGAAAGGTGCAAATGCATAGAAAAATCTGCGTTTTCAAAAATACCCGGGTACGTGTGGACGTAGCCTAAGTGTGTCTGAGTGTTCTCAAAGAGAGGGACGGTGATCTGGACTGAGGCGTGGAGTCAGACCGTAGAATAAGAGATACCTGAGCATCCACAGGCCAACATGAAGAAGCTGCAAGAAGGTCCCCCCCACGTATCTATAGAGGCAGGAGTTCATGCTTCACCACTTCATGAACTTTGATGACATGAACTGAGGTTAAATGTACAGTTTGATTGTGGAACTGTTGTGTTTCGCTCCCACACAGTGGTGTCTCTGAGCCATGTCAGGCTGAGGGGTAAATCCCCAAAACAGTTGCTTTTTACTGTAAAGCAATAAAGGTGTTTAGACACACACTGAGTGAAGAAGAAACACCCAGTGCATCATGGGAATCCCCGGCAGCCTACGTCTATTGCAGCATAACTAAGGGAGGATTCAGGGTCACCTGGTCCAGCCCTAACTATATGCTTTAGCAAAAAGGAAAGTTTGAAGCCTAATCTTGAAAGTAGAGATAGTGTCTGTCTCCTGAATCCAAACTGGAAGCTGGTTCCACAGAAGAGGGGCCTGAAAACTGAAGGCTCTGCCTCCCATTCTACTTTTAAATACTCTAGGAACAACAAGTAGGCCTGCAGAGCGAGAGCGAAGTGCTCTAATAGGGTGATATGGTACTACAAGTAGAGATGGCACGATACCCCTTTTTTATGTCCAATACCGATATCATAAATTTGGATATCTGCCGATACCGATATGAATCCGATATAGTATTTTTTAATCAACAAAACTGTTTTTTAAATATCTTGCTGCATTTTGTATAAGTTCATACTCAAGTTTAAAACAACAACTACACTAAAGCTATTCTGTTATACCTGTATGAAAAAAAAATGTTTCATAGTTCAGCAATACTGATCAATCTAATAAACTTAGACCTACACCATCCTCCCTATTCTGGTATTTTAAAGAGTACTTAGCGTAAATATTAAGCAACCTAACTAATAGGGTTCCAACTCCCAGCAACAACAAAAATAAATAAATAAAAAATAGGGAACCACCCCTCACGCGCCACCTCATGATGCTTAATCGACGTAATCAACCTTAATTTGATGCAGTGTGAAAAAAAATGCAGAGAAATCAATTATTTTTCAAGAAATATTAAATAGATTCAACATCTTTCTTCTACAGAATTGCAGACTGCACAGATGGTACCTTCCCAAAGGAAAATGTACTATAGCTTACTAGGGTATATATATTAGACTTAATAGTTACTATATACAGTAATGGACTTCTATTCATTTTACATCAAATTAAAACTTTGGGTGTCAGATAATTATTTATTAAAAGCGAGACATTTTAAATGAGAATAAGAAAGAAAAGTCTGTCTTTGTGCCCCCTTTTCCCTGTTCATGCCCTATCGGCCCCCCTGGCTAAACTTTGCTAGATCCGCCCCTGCACAGTTACCAGCGTCAGCTGTAGAAAAAGATCCTGGTGTGGAAAGTAATATTAAATACATTGTAACAACAGCTTATCAAGCTTAAACGTGCTGCTGTTGTTCAGCCGCTGGTTTCCTCTTTCTGGTGCAAAGTGGGCCAAAAACAAACCAGAAAGACTCGCGACAGAAAAGCCGATCAGCTGATCATTGATCAGTTTCATGATTGAAGTAGCAGCCAGAAGAGGCAGTTGCTCCATATATCGTTTGGTAAGCTTAACGCAGGAATGCTTTACATTCAGAGATGGACTTACACACTTGCTTTACTTCTCTCGGGATAACTTTGTCGGAGATGAAATGCCGGGTTGCTAGCGAAGCTCCAAATGCTATCCAGACCACCGACAGGTCCCGCATGCCACAGCCGCTCTATCACGTGATGCATACTGCTCCGACGTGCTAACGTTCTGAGGTGAGTTACGGCGTGTTGCAAGTTTTGTGAGGTGCTTTCGTGATATTTAATGGATCGGATTACATTTTTTATTTTTCTCCGATATCCGATCCAGTAATTTAGGTCAGTATCGGACCGATACCGATACGTAATATCGGATCGGTCCATCTCTAACTACAAGGTCATTAAGATAAGATTGGGCCTGATTATTTAAGACCTTGTATGTGGGGAGCAGGATTTTGAATTGATCAATTATTAAGTCATGTACTAACAGAGACTTGGAGGAGAGAGACCTAATATTTAATAATCCACATTTCACTGTTTTACTCTTTGGATACTGTATTGTTCTTTCTTTGTGATTGTTTATGTTTAAGTTGTTTGTTGCTGGTTTTTAGTTTGTTTTTGTCTGTTTGGGAGCTGACACAGTCTCTATGGAGATGGGGGTTTTTTTTTGGGGGGGGGGGGGGGGGGGGGGGTAGCAGGAGGAGAGAAGCTGCAGAGAGGCGTGTAAGACTGCAACTCTGCTTCCTGGTCCCAACTCTGGATAGTCATATTTTGGGGGGTTTAATAAATTTGTCCATATTTCTAGAAATGAGAGCTGCTCCATCCAAAGTGGGATGGATGCCGTCTCTCCTAACAAGACCAGGTTTCCTCCGTCATCGTTAAGCTGAGGACGTATTTATATAATTTCACCTAAACCTGCAAACATTATTCTGTGGTTATATATAAACCTATCCGGTTGTTAAGTCTGACGTCACTAGCCGTGTCTGGGTCTAAACTCCGCTGCAGGTCCATATATCAAACGATCACTATGGCATTACTGAGAGTTGAAAAACTGTCTAAAGTCTTTCCTCTTTAATAAAATGATCAGCGTTCTGCTCTACCAGGTGTAACAATTGAGCTTAACATCCAGGCATCCATGAAAACGGAATTTATGACATTTAATGGAGTTAGAAGTTAGCAGGGAGTTAGCTCGCTAGCTTCTATCTAAATACAATATAGCATGTCCTGACTGCGGGGTTTTGGAAACAAATTCAAACGTACAGCTCTGCTATCACTTCCAGCATAAATGAAGACAGAAAACTAAACAGCAGTGACGTTTGTAGGGTTACTGAAGTTGGGCTAGCTGCTATATAATGATGTGCTACGTGACCGCTAGCGACACAGCTATGTTAGCATAATATAAACAAGCTAACTTTTTTTCCACTCGATAAAAGTTAACGTGAGTGTTCTCGGTGGTCAGGAACAAATGTAATCGCATGGCAGGATGCTGTAAAAGGACCAAACTTCAGCCAGGAGAACAACTGAGATAATCCATCCACAATACGAGGTTAGTCATTCATATACTGCTGCATGGGCTGGGCTGTAGTTACATCCTAAGGTTTTAAAAACTGAGCTTATTCTTATATTCTATTTATCCCCTTTGTATATTTTATTTATATTTGTCTCTGTATTTATATATGTGTGTGTGTGTGCGTATATATATATATATATATATATATATATATATATATAACAATATATAACAATTCTGTAACTGTAACTTCGGTCGTTGCTGTGCTTTTTTTGGAAGTCGAATTTCCCAGAGGAACCCACCCGAGGGATTAATAAAGTTCTATCTTATCTTATCTTATCTTATCTTATCTTATCTTATCTTAAATAAATGATTAGCGGTAATAAAAGCCGAGGGAGGTCAACAGGGATCACTGACTGTTTTAGGAGCTTTTAGAGATTAAATAGAAGAAAATACAAAACATTAAACATGTTAACAACACAAAAGCCATATTAAACACAGACTACTTTAGGCCCGCAAGTAGGATTCGTCACGTCATCACTTAAAGACCGGATAGAAGTTAATGAGGGTGTATATATACTGAGATGAGTGCAACAGGTGTGGAAGAAAGCACAGGTAACATTACTGAGGGCAGAGAAAACTTGACTGAAATCAAACTGGAAATCACCTGAACTAAAACATCACATCGATCCAAACTATCACTGTCATAAAAAAAACGAACCACAATTAGCTCAACACTGAGAAGTTAGTCAAACTGGCAGAACAGCATTACTCTGATCATCTACAGGAAATCATTTAGAGTCCGTTTCTGTCGAGTCGGTGCTGCAGACACCTCTGAGCTTTCACTCCACTTTGTGGACACAGTTCACAGTCACCGTCCGTGGAAGCTCCGTCTGTCGATCTAGTGTATACACTCAGGGATGAAGCTTGAGTTATTGATTTGTCTCTTTAGTCTCTCGCGGTTTATTAAGAAGACAAATGACAGGCTGTGGTTGGTGTGCCTGTGTAACACAGACCTGTTCTCATCACTGCATGAACCACAAAGAACTCAGGTGTTGGTGTTTGAAACAAATAAAACAAAACATTAAAAAGCAACAGAGATTAAAGAGAGACTCGGGTCACAGGAATAACTCATCACAGCTCAGGTAAACAGGCAGCTCTGCAGTTTCTCAGTTTCTGACTTTTATTATAAAAAGTTTGTCTGAACAGTAAATCAGAATAAAACTTGTAGATGTACTTACGAGGTAGTGAGCCGGCCATGTTGGTGCTGCTCAGGGTTAAAGCTGTGTCACAGTCACATGCCTGCTGCCAAAATGTTTTGCATGAGCTGGTTGTTGTACCGTGACGATCGTCCCTCCCTTTAAATGCAAGGTGCCAGACCTGTCCTACACACAGGAACAACACTCGGGCTGTGGCACCAAACACGGGGAAACAGCCATCAGTGGCTCTTTATGGGAATTATGAGAATAAATATATGTGCAAATATAAGAATGTATGTGCGTCACTATATATATATACTATATATGTCATGGCCTGCGCTGGCAGACCATGGGGAGGTGGGGAAACAGGACCCAGATGCCGGACTCTTCAGTGCAGACAGTGTTTATTTACAAGGTGGTGAAGTGAGCAACAATAAATCCCCCTGTGTCCCAGACTGCCGTTCCCGTCTTCATCCAGTGTCAGTGCTCTGTGTCTCCAGTCCTTAGTGTGGTCCGTGGTTGCTGCCCTCTCGTCCCGCAGTTCTCCTGGGAAAGTAACAGAAGCAGCACCACTCAGTAACAAAACTCTAATTCACTGACTTCTAACTGGGAAACTAACGGAAGTCTCATGAATCGATCCAGCGTCAGAAAGAGCTGCACCACACTCCTAAGTAGCTCCTCCGACGAGGCTTGATCAGCTGCAGGTCTGTGCATCTTCCTCAGGTGTAGCCAGCCACCTGGCAGACCCACCAGGCCTGATGGTGCCTGTAAACCATCCTACCAGAAACACCCAGACCCATACATGGACCCATACACATACCTGCAAGCAGGGAAACCAGGGACAGCCACACAATACATAAAATGTACATATAACAAGTAATATAAATTCAAAACTGCTTATGGGCCCTGGGTCCCTCAGACCCCGGTCTCTGACAATATAAGACAGATGAGTCAATACTTCTGCCAACAGTGTATTTTGAGGTTAAAATGTTGCCTCTCTATAAGTTAACAGAGTAAACAAACTTGAGCGGTCGATGGTACTGACTGACGTTGCATGGAATGATCCAGTTATCAATCGTGATGATTGATAACAAGACTAAAAGTTTTTGGTTGATGGCTAAAAGGAAACATTTGTGAGCCAGTTTCCAACCATGTGGCCTCCTCCCACGACTACAGGTTTATTTATGTGACTGAGCGTGGAGTGGTATACTAACCCACTGAGGAATCTGCCCTGTAGTCACTCTAACAAGTCATTAAGTGCTGATGTGACAGCTGGAGTGTTGTTCCTGTATGTGATATGGTGGCATTAAAGGGAGGGCCAATCTTCATGAATGCACAGAGCTGATGTCAATACGGTAGCTGTGACAGCTTTCACAATCCTGAGCAGCACCAGCATGGCCGGCTCGAAAGCTCGTAAGTACATCTACAAGTTTTATTCTGATTTACTGTTCAGACAAACGTTTTTATAATAAAAGTCAGAAACTCCAGAGCTGCCTGTTTACCTGAGCTGTCAGTCTTTATTTCTGTGCCCTGTGTCTATATCTTATTTATCTGTTACTTTTTAAAATTTATGTTTATTTGTTTGAAACAACAAATCCTGAAACATGTGGTTCATGCAGTGGTAAGAACAGATTTGTTTTATGAACGTTTACAGCCAACAGCCACCAGAGCCTGCCAATCCACCCAGTCTTCACTTTGAATGGCATGGATGGATGGATGGACAGACAGACAGACAGACTTTATCAGTAAATCTGATTTCGGGGGATTTCGATGTGCGGAGTAATCCTGTTCTGCCAGTTTGGTTGCTGGTTCTCGTAAACTTCAGGGAATTTATGGTCAGCATTCTCGTCTTTGTTTTGATTGATGTGTGATTGTTTTGGATTGTTCAGATGTTTAGTCATGAGTCATTTCCTGTTTTATTTCAGTAATCAGTCTTTTATGTAATGCTGTAAATTTTACTTCCCCCATTCCTGGGTTTTCCTTCCTTGGTACTTCATCATCACCTATCCCTGATTCTGTATATGTAACTGTCCTAGTGTGACGAGCTGGTTGAGGGAGTCCCACTAATAACAGCAGTAATCTGTTTATCTTCTTCAGCAGTTGAACATGTTCCACACCTGAGGATAGTGCTTGTTGGGAGAACAGGAGTTGGGAAGAGTGCATCAGGAAACACCATCTTAGGAAGAAAAGCTTTTGAATCTAAAGCTGCCTTTTCTTCAGTGACAGCAGGGTGTCAGAAAATCACAGATCAGGTAGACTGTCAGATCCTGGATGTTGTTGATACTCCAGGACTGTTTGACACTGATAGACCTGAAGACGAGCTGAAGAGAGAGGTTGCCAGATGCATCTCCTTTGCTGCTCCTGGTCCTCATGTGTTCCTGATCGTGATCCAGATTAGCAGATTCACCAAAGAAGAACAACAAACAGTGAAAATCCTGCAGAAGATCTTTGGAGAAGAAGCAGCAGGTTATACTATGGTGCTGTTCACACATGGAGATGATGTGGACAATGAAGCTAACATAGACACATTGATAAAAAGTAGTCTGTCTCTGAGTAGCTTCATCCAAGAGTGTGGAGGAAGATATCATGTTTTTAACAACAAAATCAAAGATCCCTCTCAGGTCAAAGAGCTGCTGGAGAAGATCAACATAATTGTTCAGAGACATGGAGGAAAATATTACACCAACGAGATGCTGCAGGAGGCTGAGAGAGCCGTCAGAGAAGAGCAGGAGCGACTTCTGAGAGAAAATATATCGATGGAAGAGCAGGAAGCAAGAAGGCGTGCAGAGAAAAAGAACAAGTTCCTGAAGGCGGTGGGGATCGGGGCGGGAGTGGGAAGTGTGTTTGGTCCACTGGGAGCAGCTCTGGGAGCGGCAGTGGGAGCTACAGCTATAGCCGTGAAAGACAAAGAGTGTGTTACTCAGTGAATTTGATCCTTTTTTCATCATCTTTGTGCTGGATGGACTTTACTACGAGGTTACCCACTGTGGGTTTGGAGATGATGGCATACTCACGTCCCTTTATAAGAACCTTGAACTTAAACAAGTCCAGATGCTTTTCTTTCCAAGCTCCTTGGACGACCCCGACCTGGACCACCGAGAACCTTCACAGACCATCATGTTTACATTTCCATGGTCTGGTTTTGGTGAAGGACACAAACCTTCATGAACACACGGAGTCTCACTTTGTTCATTTCTTACTGTCAAAAACATGAAATTAGAAAAAAAATGGTTTATTTTGTTAACTACACTGGTCGACATCAAAGCCAAATATGTATGTGACTGGTTACTGTTTCCAAGATGTTTGATTTTAATCTTTAACTTTTCATCGGTTTACTTTGCTTCATATAATGTTTGACTTCAATTCAAACATCAGAAAAAGCAACATTGCATTAAAAATATTACTATGAAACATTAGTTCACACTAAAAAACAAATAAATAAAAAAATGTAATCTAGTTACCTCCCAGCCTGCCTGCAGGTCAACATGTGTGTAGCTGAGATATATACAGCTATATATATATATACAGTCTGCAAATATAATAAATCATTACTGTAGTAACCTTTGTTACAAAAACTAATGACATCGCTCTAACATTTACACAACACTGCCCTCATCAGGTCAGACTGGGAATGACAACCAACCAGTAAACTGTCATCAAAGACTTGAGCTGACACTGAGGTGTAGTTTATGTAGTTTACTGTCTGTAATTCACGTTTACCTGTTTGTGTTGATTCATTCAGGCCTGAATACAAATACGCAGTAATCTGATTACCTCAGTCTGTCACTGACAGAGCTGTGCGTGTGTGTGTGTGTGTGTGTGTGTGTGTGTGTGTGTGTGTGTGTGTGTGTGTGTGTGTGCACGCGCAGCGTTTGCTTTGAAGCGTGTTGAAAGAAGAACAAAGCGTTCCTCTGTTGCATCTTTCCCGGCGTCTCTTCTGTTCCTCACATTAACGAGAGCTGTGTGCTGATTGGACGGCTGTGATTAGCTGCCAAAGTGTTTAAAACGCTGAAAGAAACGTCGACAGGGAAACAACCTTGAACATTAGAAATGGTTTAGCGGAGTTTGGTCCAGACTGTTCTGAGAGGAAACAGGAAACATGAGGACACGAGGACACGATGACGGTCTGAGAGGCCTTCAGGGAGGAGGCAGCTGATGGAGGTGGCGACAGGTAAGACTGATCAGTCAGCTGACGGGTTGTTTAGGTGTGGAGGTGGTGGAGGTGTGGTTTTACTCTGTTAGTCTGTCACACGACTGTTTTTATCACGATATCTCAACCGAACGATGGATCTGACAGCTGCTGACTGACGGTCGCCATGCCAACACCTCTGAATCCAAGTGCAGCCATGTTTGAGGGGGAGGTCATGTGACCCTGCGGTAGAGCGGGACAAAAACAGGAAACATCTCTATTAAATGTCAGCTCTTCACTTTAACTCTGAACAGATCTACAAACCTCTGCAACAAATACCACGAACAGCAAAATCAGTTTTAAAGCTGGAAGATCCAAATCTGACCTGAAAACAAAGCTCTTCATGCTGTTTGTAGGTCAAACCCTTTCTTTGAAAAGTAAGCTGTCAGGTAGGTGGTACGTTTCCTCTTTCTACGTCTCCAGAAAGAATGTGACAACCAATCACAGCAGGCTGTCCCTGCCGCTGATCCAGTCTAGCATCAGTCACACAGAGCGAAGAGTAAAAAGTGTTTCATGCGTTTCAGATTCTTTGAGAGGTTTAAAATTGTCTTCAGACGATCGCCGACGAGCTTTGGTCAGAGCTGCAGGAAGCAGCCTGCTGGCATCACGCCGGCGCTCACAGAGTTAAAAACACTGACTGGGATCAGCGTGTGGCCGATGCAAAGATCAGACAGGTGCGATGCATCAGGTGTTCCCTGCTGACATTTAATCTCCTCTGAAAGGTTAATCTGAGGCTTTTAATTTGGCGCAGGGCTTTTAATGTGAAAATCGTCAGACAGATGGAGCTCCGTCAGGCTGCTGATTAAAACAACAGCAGTTTATTATCAGCGACTCATTAGAAACAGGAAATGATTATCAGAAACACACCGATCAATAAGTCTGACCTCAGGTATGAATAAACAACCAGAGCTGAAGTTTGGATTTATTAACAATAATCAGAAAACAAGAGAGAAAAAATAAAGAAACAAAAGGACAGTAAAACAAATAAATCTATCCAAAACAATAAAATAATAAATACAAATTTATTTTAAAAACATTTCACAGGAAAATGAACAAATAAAAAAAAAACAGGCTTCAGGCTATGGCGTCTATCTGAACGGCAGTAAAGCCTTGAGCTCGACACACAACAGCTAAAGACACTTTCTGTTCGTACTCGCCCCAAAACAAGCTACTGCTCCAACCCAGCCAATCAGGATGCAGATTACAGAACACTGATCTAAACTGAAAACAACGAAAAGATGGACCAGACACTGAGAAGATGGAAGAAGCTAGCGCCCTGCGGACCGAGACGCATGTTCTGGCTGAACACTTCAACTGTGAGACGTTACAACATCCACCTTAGAAATAAAGGACAGAACTGGAGCGTTTCAGAGAGGCTCGCCTCAGCAGCCCCATCGAGTGGGACATAGGCTGCACGGCCAAAACATCCCAAACGGCCCAACCCGAGCGATCATCAGGACGAGGCGAGGTGACGAGAGCGGCCGCGAAGCACCACAGATGCCATGTGATGATTTTCTCTGCGCTGACGAGAGAAACCGGGTGAAACAGCAGCTCCTGTGGACTGATCTCCCATCACGGCAGCCGGCACCTCCTCCACTCCATCAGAGGTGGAAGAATTCATACGAAAGACCCGGAAACAAAATGATGGATAAATTCATGTCCACTCTGGAAGTGATGAACAACCTCAGCTCAGAGAAAATAACACGCTGTAGTCGTAGCTGTGCAGGCATGACGCAGGCATGACGCAGGCATGACGCAGGCATGACGCAGGCATGACGCAGGCATGACGCAGGCATGACGCAGGCATGACGCAGGCATGTAATATTTAATTCCTGTAAATGTTCTTTGGCTTCTCAGTTAATATGGTCGCAGTGAGTTTAAAGCTTTGAATTAACAACAGGATGTTTTTTCTGCTCCTATACGATCAGTAGCCAAACAAGTTTCAGTGACAACAGGAGGGAATCTGTGACATTTCCACAGGTCGGGTCCTGGGTTGTGCTTTATAAGAGTTGAGTGTTTTAAATAGTCATTTTCGTTCCTACAGCTGAGACGAATGCAGTCAGTTTGTTTAAAGGGCACAAACTGAATGAAACGGCTCTCCTGGAGCGTGAGAGGCCTTAGGAAATGTATTAGACTATAGAGAGTAATGAAGAGACTCAAACAATGTCACCCAAAGGACGTCTTCATTCAAGACACACCCGTGTGGGAGTGAAATTGCTCGGAGAAGGACGAGGTTCAGGCTTTTTCTACCCACCTCTCATCACATGCTGATGGAGGTGGGGACATAAATCATGACCCATCTTAGACCCACAGGGAGCTTCATCATCATACAGCGCTCAGTGATGAACAAAGACTTCATTATGGTTCATTTATACGGCCCAACACAGGTGACCTCAGCTTTTATATGTTCCTCTATACTGCAGCTCTAACTGTACCTTAGATCCTGGGCTTGACAGATCATCAGGTTCAGACTATAACTATTCAGTTATACAACATTTCATGTCCGAACTGAGCCTAAAATGCAAGGAGACGAGAAATCCCAACACAGAGAGCACAGTCCTGTCGCTCAGCCACAGTCGCATAGATTGTTTCCTTATTTCAAACTCTCAACTCATCGATCTTTAGCATTCAGCCATCACTGCTGGGTACATAACCCAAATTCACTGATGACGGTTTCTACTTCACTAACTCTGAAGCTACAGCCTCAGCCAGAGGGGGGGCCTTTGAGGTAATTATACATGGACAGATGAGGGTTTACACAGAAAACAGATCAAATAAAACTGAGATGTTGGACTTGATGCTCAAATAACAGAAGTGGAACTAGAGATGAATTTGAATGACACTAAAGAAAAACAACAAAATCTATTAAAACTAAAAACATGATAAATTAAGTTCAGACAGCATCAGCCGAGCGTCGACAGACCTGCGGCGATCAGGGAGCGAGAGCAGGAAAACTTTGGTGCATCACAGTGAACGAGAGAGAAACAATAAATGAAATTAGAACCGCAGATGAAAACATCACAGATCCTCAGAGAACAAATGATCTCCTTATTCCTCACAACTAAGAGGAAGACCGAAGACCAGCTGGTGTCAGACCATAATAATGAGCTAGAGCTGGTGTTAACTGGGAGGAAGCCGAAGCAACAGCCTCTAATCGCCAACAATGAACAGCTGCCCGACGCGCCGCACAACATAAAGACTCACAACCATACACAACGTAAGAATCGTTAGACTCTATCAACGTCACTTCACTTTGTCGAGAAGCTGGGACTGAATCAGACTCTCTGTCATCAATGACTTAACTTTCAAATGTAATGCACAAATTAAAAACAGGAAATATTTTACCTTTGTAAAGTATTTAAAGACACAGTGTTGCGCCCCCTGTAGGATAAGTTAGTGGAACGCTACACTTTAAAAGAGCTACCTCTGTCTATGCGTGATGATAATGGTACTGCCCAAACCTGGGAAACCACCTACGAAATGTGAATCCTACCAATCCCACTAATACAGATCCCAAGTTCACAGTACTGGCAAACCGACTTGAAGGGGAGCTTCATCTCTCTGCACAACGTAAACATGCAGACATGGCTCTGCTTCAGCTGGACGCAGAACAAGCCTTTGACAGCGTCGAGCAGAGCTAGCTTTATGAAGCACTTCCTCAGTTCAGCTTTGGCACTTATTTTACGACTTAGGTTAAACTAATGTAACATAAACTGAGAGCCTCCGTTATACCAACAACATCTATACCCTTCAATCTAAGCAGAAGTACATGTAAAGGTAAATGATGAAAGGTACATACGTGTGAGTGAGCTTTATTTTGTAAGGGGGTAAAAAATCCACAGAAACAAGGCAAGGAAAAAACCTAAACTGGACATAAACTAACAAAACAAACCTGAAACCAAAAACAGAGCTGCAGGGAGACACGGAGGAAGCTACGCAGACAAACCAGCAACTAACAGAGGCAAACACAAGGCTTAAATACACAGAGGGATAACGAGGAACGAAACACAGAAGAACACAGCTGGGAGTGACTGACAAGATGAGAAAGGGGAAGCAAAACTCAATGCATTTACATAGGACACAGACTTTCAAAGTAAAACAGGAAACATAACAGACTTGACTAGGAGGGAACAGCAACCATGGAACACAAACAGAAACCAAAAGATTAGAAAAGATAAACAATGACAAAGTCAAAGTTCAATAATGATACAAAGACTCAAAACACTGGGTCACTGACACAGGACCAAACGCTGTCCCAGCTCTCGCCTTTCTGGGACAATAAGACCTGTGAAAGATTTGGGTTTTAAAATACAGTCTGCCACAGGTTTGTGCAAAGTTGCAGAACTATTTGAAACAGAAATTACATTAAACAAATTGGATTCTAATATTCAGACACGTGTGCTAAACACAGGGCCAAATGTTCAGATAGCCAAAGGTTTTAGAAAGTTCTCGATGTACCTGCAGACATTACTAGTGTGCAGCTGATTCGACGTCCTACACTCCCCCCTGTGAGATGTGATGATTCATGTGCTGAGGTGTTTTTTTCTGTTCTCAAACTGATCTCCCTGTTGGAGCTCAGTCTTTGTTTTCCTCGTCTTTCCTCGTGTTGTGCATTTTCTATGGTTTCGGTTCCGGGTCGCTGCTCGTTGGGCGACCGGCCAGTGCTACCTAGCCTGACCGGTCTCCCCAATGTGATGTTTGTGTTTTGTATGTATGGTCGGCAGGGCATCTATCTTAATTGCTCCTTGGGGATAAATAGAGTTTTTTTTGACTTGACTAAACCACAGATGTCCAACTCCAGGCCTCGAGGGCCGGCGTCCTGCAGGTTTTACATGTTTCCTTGATCCAACACAGCTGGTTTAAATGGCTAAACGACCTCCTCAACATGTCTTGAAGTTCTCCAGAGGCCTGGTAATAAACTAATTATGTCGAATTATGCGTGTGTGTGTGTGTGTGTGTGTGTGTGTGTGTCTACATACATGTATTATTTTTGTGAGCTTTGTTTAAAACATCAGTAAATGAATAAAAAAATAAAATAAATGTAAAAAGTCGAAAACAAAGTGAACGATAAACCTCAGACTCACCTGTCAATCATTCACCTGTCAGAATCACAGCCCCGAAGCCCCGCCCCTGGGAGCGCTGTCCTCAGCCAACGGTAGTCTTGTCCGTCTGTGGCGCCCGCGTGTGATTGGCTGGATCCTGATTGGCTGTTGGCGGCAGAGAGGAGGGGTGAGAGCGGAGTGGAGTCAGCGTGAGCGGCTGCTCGTGGACAGACGCGCGCGGGCGGCGGATTAAACAAGGGTTCGGACATGGCGGGCTCCTCCATCCGGACCTCCAGCCCTCACACCGACCCTCTGCTCCACTCCGACCCGCCTCACAGTGCTTCTGTCCCGGCCGGCCCCTCGCGGCTGCCCGGCGGCAGTGTCGCGCACGCGGACTGCCGGATGGTGGACGTGCACGGCGTGCAGGTGGCGTCGTTCACGGTGGACGGTGCGGAGCTGCTGTGCCTGCCGCAGGTGTTCCAGCTGTTCCTGAAGCACCTGGTGGGGGGGCTGCACACCGTGTACACCAAGCTGAAGCGCCTGCGCATCAGCCCCGTGGTCTGCACCGTGGAGCAGGTGCGCGTGCTGCGCGGGCTCGGAGCCATCCAGCCCGGAGTGAACCGCTGCAAGCTCATCAGCAGACCCGACTTCGAGACGCTGTACCGGGACTGCACCTGCGCCAGGTGAGCCGGGCCGGAGGGAGGAGGGGATCAGCTGGAGTTTAGTTTCCTTCATTGATTTGATTTGAGTTGTTTATTTGAGGTTTTCTGACACCGGAAACGATCAGCGTGTTTGATCAATAACTTTAAATAAAGTGAAAGCGTTTGAGCAGCTGAGCGCGTGATGAAATCAGCTGTTATTGATTGTTGATATTTTCTGTTGTTTGTATTCTGTATACCACCTTTTTAAACGGTAACTGTAACGGAATACAGTTACTCCTATGTTCTATTTTAAATACGCTGGTAAATGTACTCTGTTACACCCAGCACTGTTTGGCTGATCGATTAGCTTCAGCCAAACACGCCACTGTCAGAGCCAATCACAGTGATCGGGTCAATAATGATGATGACGATGATGTCATCAGCATGTGTGTGACATATGGACGAACATGCTACCAAAACAAGTTGAAGCACACACACACACACACACACACACACACACACCGTGGTCTTTCTGCTTGCATGAGGACCGTCATTACCATCAGGGCCCGGTGGGGTCTTGTCACGCTGAGCCTTAAGGGGAAGGTGGCTGTCATCTATATCCTGTTATGATATTATCGGTCTGTGGTTTATATGATGATTCCTGCAGGTCCAAAGACATCACTGTGCCCTGTACTTTTTAATCTTTAACACCCTCCACTCAGTGAATCTTTGGTCGCTGCTGTTCGTCCTGCGGTAGAACAAAGACACAAATTGATATGTTAGGGGAGTGTGTTTGTTTTTGTTTGGCAGGCTCGAAAACATTTGTAAATTAAAATTAGGATTGCCGCTTATGAAGAGATCCACCAGCATGAGGGGACAGAGGCCCCCATTAAACAGAAATTAACTCAGTCCCCACAAGAACACAAAGACAAGTTCACAGAAACACAAATCTTCTGAGTGCCAGTGTCTGCGTCGCATCCAGGTGTGTGTGTGTGTGTGTTTGCGTGTGTGTGTGTGTGTGTGTGTGTGTGTGTGTGTGTGAGTGTGTGTGTTTAATCACGTGAAGGTAGGTTTCTGAACGTGGATCAAAATGTTTTTTTAATTATTGGATTATGTAAATACCCCTCAACTAATTAAATTAACAAAGAGAAGCTCTGTGTGCATGTGAGTGTCCGCGCGCGTCATGTGCGCGCGTGTCTGTGCGTGTGCGCGCAGCGTGCGCGTGCGTATGTGTGTCTGTGTGTGTGTCCGTGCTTGCATGTGTGTGTATGTGTGTGCCCTACATGTTGTACGGTGTTCATTGATGAGGATATTCATAGAAATACAGACTTTATCATTTGAGCAGCCGTTTCCTGACTGCAGTCATCACAGCTGGAACATCAGCCTGTAGCAGGACAGTGTTAATGTTTTTAGTCCTTTATTTATCCAGGTAAAAATCTCATTTTCAAGAGAGACCTGGCATCATGGCAACAAAAGTCAAAAATACATGTACCACATTAATACATAACATCTAAAAAAAATACAATATCCCGTACAAACCTGAAAAATATACAGTAACAGATCAACTGAGTGCGACATTAAAAACAGTCACACTGAGTAAAACAGTGACATCACACATGCTCCATCAGTATGTATCATCATGTTGGACCTGCTTCACTCATGAATGTAAGAGTTAAAACAGGAAACAAAGCGTTTTTGCACTTTACTGCTCGTGTTTGAAGCTTTAGCTGACATGCACTCAGTGGGCGCTCGCAGGTCAAGTTTTTTTTTTTCAAAATTATTACTCCTGTTAAAGTAGGTCAGCTGTTCAAGAGTCTGATAGTAGTGAGGAAGAAGGAGCTGTTGAGTCTGGATGCTCTGGATTTCTCACTTCTTCTTTTTTTCTTTCCTGTCCCGTTTGGATCTTTAACCATCAGAATTGTTGTCTTGAGGCCAAGAAAGATGCCCAACGGATTTACTTTAGCAAGTGGATCATCATGGCCTTGCCATATTGGTCCATTTGATTGACCTTTATTATAATTATGTATTTATTTTATTTTCAGTTGTTACAGACGAGACAGACATGACTGGGGGATAGGACAGCGAGGGAGAAAGAAAGAAAGAAAGAAAGAAAGAAAGAAGGAAAGAAAGAAAGAAAGAAAGAAAGAAAGACACCTGGATAACCTGTCGAGAGAAGAAAAAAAACAGAAGAGAGAACAAACAACAAAAAAGAGCAACATAACAAACACAACACCATCACAATACACTAGCTAACAGTAGATACTAAATATTAAATGTTATTGTGCAGCACGCAAGATCAACAGCGCACAATGTGCTTTGAGGTAGCAGCCAAGAAAGGTGTCCATATAAATGGCCCACCCTGTAGTTTGTGTCTGTGAACACCCGTGTGTACACCTGTGTGCACACCTGTGTGGATCAGCACGCTTGTATTCAAAAGGTTTCTCCATGTAACGATCTGCTTGGGAGTTTGGGGAGCCATAGCCCCGCCCCCCCAGGGTATGAAGTAGGTATGGAGGTGATCCAGGCCCCAGAGTACGAGAGCCCAAGGAGGACCATCGAAGGGGCAACCGTGCCACCCTCCTGGGAAGACCTGAGGAGAGCCCCAGACGAGAGGCCACCCAGCAGCCACGGAGCAGAGGCCAGAGGGGGTTGCAGTGACATGCCCACGGGCTCTGCCGGCAGCCATCTGTGCCAGAGAGGACCGAGCCCCAGGTCCAGAGGCCTGAGGGCACCCCACCCCCCGGAAAGAACCCAGCCGGGCCACAGGCGCCAGGCCCCGCCAAGCAGCCACCAGGAGTGAACCAGTACATACATGAGCACCCAGCCCTGGACACCAAGAACCACCAACGCACCGACGTATGAGGGCACCAGCCACCGTCAGGGAGTGTGGTGAGGGGAGACAGGCCTCCATACCTCAGAGAGCCTGAGATGTTCACAGAGAGGTGGCGTCTAAGACCCGACCTGACGTCTAGACACAGGCGAACAGGCGCACGCATTCCCACCCCCATACACATATAAACAAATACTCAGCACTTGCCCGACATGAAGACAGACACAAATAGACACTGTACACACAATCATACTCCCCAAACATACTCTTTATCCCAGGTCCAGGTACCGCCCCCTTATCGGGCAGTAGCAGGGAGGCCCCGCATCCCAGACCCCAATCTGACGGCCGACACTCCTCACAGGGGTGAGTGGATTTCACACTTCTGAACCTTCACCCCGAGGGCAGATGGTAGATACTCTGCAGAGAGGGCAGCGGGGTCCTGGTGATCTTCTCCACAGTTGTTATCACTCTCTGCAGGCGTTTGCGGTCCGTAGCAGTAGTGCTGCCGTACCATGCAGCTGGCCAGTGTGCTCTCCACAGTGCAGCTGTACAACCTGCTGAGGATCTTGGCCGACATACCAAATTTCCTCAGCCTCCTCAGGAAATACAGCCGCTGCTGAGCCTTCTTGACCAGCTGTGTGGTGTTCAGTGTCCAGGTGAGATCCTCAGAGATGTAGACGCCCAGGTACCTAAAGCTGCTCACCCTCTCCACTTCAAGGCCCCGGATAAACAGCGGCTGGTGAGGCCTCCTCTTCTTCCTCGTGTCCACTATCATCTCCTTTATCTTATCAGTGTTGAGGGTGAGGTTGTTGTCCTCACACCATGATACCAGACCGGCCACCTCTCTCCTATAAGCCGCTTTGTCCCCTCCAGTGATGCGACCGATCGCTGGAGTGTCATCCGCGAACTTCAGTATGGTGTTGTCTTTGTTGGAGGCGACACAGTCGAGGGTGTACAGGGTGTAGCGGATGGGACTGAGGACGCATCCCTGTGGGACGCCAGTGTTTGTAATAATGCTGGCTGAAGTCCTGTTGTCAATCCTGACAGACTGGAGCCTGCCAGTCAAAAAGTCCTGTAGCCAGTCACAGAGGGTGGGGTGCAGGCCGAGTGTAGACAGCTTGTGAGAAACATGTAACAAACATGCATCTGTGGGTTGAGCATCAGAGTCGGGGCACATTGAGAAGACTCTTGCCTGGTGTTGTTTACTGGATGACTGAAGAAGCAACAGTTTGACTTAATGAGCAGGAACCTCAGCAGCATGTGGAAGAACCACAGATGTCCTCTGTTGCACTACCCAAAGTCCTCTCCTTCGGGTGGCGCTGTCACTTGGTGTTCACGCTCTCTGCGGTAGAGCATCACTTCCTGTTCCTGTTCCACCACACAGTGGTGTTTTTGAGTAGCTTATCTGCTTAGCAATTTAATTAAAAACTTTTAGATAACTTCTGTTTTCATAGTATAATCTTCACGTGCTTCATCCGAAGCACACTCTCTGCCAAGCTCTTTAAGTTTGTGCAGCTTCCCCGCTTGAAAGGGATTGATGCATCTACCACAGGTGTTTCACTGGATTTCACTCAATGACCAGGCGGATCTTTTGTTTTTCTTTTAATCTTCTTTTCGGCCGTAGTCAGCCATAGGTGAAAAATCTTTTAAATACAAACCAAAAAACCAAAATACAAACGTTTGTTATCACACCTCTGTGAATATTAACCAAACCAAACCTTTTTTAACACATCAATAGCAGTGCATAAGCTTTGCAGCACAATATTTACTTGAGTATTTTTAAATGCTCAAATTATGTAATTCACTCTAACGATTGTACATACTGCTTTCTATAAAAATGCAAAATCAAATGACCAATCTGCATTAGAACTTAAACAGTAAACAATAGTATTCATGACCAGCTTCTCTTGCACTTAACCATATGCAAGCATTAACAGTCTTCCATATGCAGACCGACGATAAACAATGGTGCCGCTCGTAAACAGGCGACCAACCCACGGCACAATGCTAATGCTATGTAAGCTAGTGGCAGCCGCGATTCTTTAGCAACCCGCTTCAATCAGTTTTTGAACTTAGCCAGGAACCATTTCCTTACCGGCTGCCTCCCTGGATTTATAGATACATCAGCTCCACACAATATCCCTGCCGGTGACAACTTATTAGTCTCAATATGCGTACTCGTGTGTACTTGCGTTCTCGTGTACTCATGATA